ACTTGGCTGCTGACTCTCTCTTGGAGAGCAGGGGATTGTCCGGCTAAGCTGGGGTCACATGGTGTTTTCTCTGGAGATACTGGGGGCTCTGTTAATCCTATTGCCCATTGTGCTTTTCAGAGATTGTCCGCTTCTAGCATACAGGTCTGTCTCCTCTTACGCTGGGGCTACGTTCCGCAGTCGGCGCCTAAAGCGAAAATCGCGGATGGTCAAAATTACATTGAGTGTAATGGCGGGCGGAATCGCCCGCACTACAGAAACAGTATTTAAATGGTTATTTTTCTCTTTTGGGGGGTTTTGTGTTTGTTTTTGCCGACCGCGTAAAGCTGAAATCGCACATGTTCAATGCGCCTAAGATGCAACAGACCTGTACACTAGAATTGCATAATCCTCCTCTACCTTGAGGAGGTGCGGAGCAGTAAAGGAGGGAGCTGGAGGGAGCTGTGCGCCTCTCCAGCAGAATGGGCCAGAATCTATACTGGGAGACAGGCAGCCGGGAGTGGCTTTCCTACCCAAAAGCTGCTGGCCAGTAGCATCGTGGGAGCCAGGGGTTAAGTCTCGGGAGTTTGCTGGACTCTACCAAGCAGCTTCTGGAGCCTGCCGACACAGCTCTGCTTTCAGCCGAAGCACATCAGGCTGCCCGAGCCAAAAGAGAGGGGGGGAGTTTCCTGTAAAGGGTCTCAAGTAACCTAGGCCCAAGCTACAGAGGTGCAAAGGCCTTAAAGAAAAGAGATGGGACTCTGTCTCCCGTAGCCGAGTCTCACCAAAGGGCCAGCGTAGTGCTTGCTACAGTCTCCGGGGTGTGGTGACTGGGATTTGGCAGGTTCCTCGCTGGAGGAAGGAGCAGATTTCTCTTTCCGATGCTAATTTGTAGCCCTTTTGCTGCCAGCAAAGCATGTGCATTAGCTCGTAGCCGCTGGTGTCAGATTGGCTTCTGGCCCCAAGCACTGATTGGAGCAGTACATGCTTCAGGCCTGTGCCTGGTCTCACTGAAGCATTCAGGTCGAGCTCCGTAGATAGACACCTCAGAGCGGAGGCAGGGCTGGGTTGTTTACCCAATTTAGAACCCAGCATGGTGGCCCTGAACATGCACCAGTAGCATTTTCCTGTCAAGTCCTGGGACTTCCCCAGCCTGCCCTGACTGGACAGCAGGTGAGGGAGACGTTTGCCCAACCGAAGTGCCTGCTAGATGTTAAGACCGTGCTGCCGGCTTTGTGTTGGGAAGTGCTGTGGAGTGGGCCCTTCTGTGAGGTGTGGGGACGCAGCTGGGAGACCCTTCCAGAGCTGGAGAGACACTCAGGTGTTTACCAGGTAGTTAGTTACCTGGTAAAACATCTTAATCGCCCTCCCCTGCCCTTGGTTCTGACCCAGACCCTGGAGCGTCTCTTTGGAGGAACTGGCCTCGGTTGTTAATGGAGAAAGGAGAGAATTCCAAAAGACAAACTGGAGTAAGTATAAGGAGCGCTGGCCATTTCCAGCCAGCACAGGGATCAATCTGGCGGTTCAGACCCTGCTCTCCCTTTCTCCCCATTCACCTGCTGTCTGTTTAAATTAACTCTGGCAGGAGGCGTGTGCTGCTTGTGCATCATTGTGCTGATCTCCTCCTGCCGGAAAGAGCAGCTCCTAATGGGACTCTGATTGCATTACCAGCCAACAGCTTCTGCTCTGCCTGCCTTGATCTGGGCCTGCGCTTTGTAATGAACTGGCACGTCCCAGTGGGGTTGTGCATGAGGGAGCACTGTGCTCCAGACAGACGCAGGCGAACACGAGCGTCTCGTCCGCAGGTCTGCTCGGCATGGTGACGAGGACAGAGCCTTCCAGGGAGCTGAAGGCCAACTGCCTCTTCCGGGCTTTCCAAACTGACTAGAGCTGGAACAGTCCGAGCCTGATGCTCTGGGAGCCTTCACCGTAGGGCGGCTGGACTCGGCAGCACTGCCGGTTACTCCAGCTGGGACTCAAAGCAGCAGGATCCTTGTGGCTAGCATGAGATGTCCCTGCAAGGTCTGTCTCCTCTCCAGACATGGCTGCTCCCTGACGCAGCGTGGCTGGCGCTGGGGGCTAGAATGTGCTGTGTGTTTTTAGCAGATCTCCCCGCTGATTTCAGACTGACGGTGCTGTATGGCCTTTGCCCAGTGCCTGTGGCAGCTAAATGCTCATCTCCCTTCCTGTCTCTCAGTAGCTGTTTCGGCAGTTTGTGTCGCAAGAAGCCCTAGCGGTGCCAGTGTAACCGATTGGACCTATTCCTCCTTCCTCCCGGCTCTCTGTTCAGTGGGACGCCCTGGTGTGCACTGCCCGTGTGCTCTGAGCGCGCGCTCCCCTGCTGAGGCAGGGTGGGATAGCTGCCCAGAATTACCCAGCATTCTCCGTTGTGTGGGAGTCGTGACTGCACAGCGATTGCTGACCTGTGGTTATGCGGTAGATGAAAACGTTACTGTGCGGACACCACTGAGCTGGTGTCTCCTCCCAAGCGGTACAGCGAGGCAGGTGTGGTGTGGATCTCTTCTCATGGGACTTTTCTTTCTTTCTAGGTGGCAGATGCCATGAGGCAGATGCAAGAGAAGAAGAATGTTGGGAAAGTCATCCTAGTTCCTGAACTGCCGAAGGAAGAACCCAAAAAAGAGGAAAACTAAAGCAAGGAGACCTGTCTGCAGGTTGTGAATTTGTGGTTTAACCCCTAACCCTTTTGGGACCTGGGAATGGACGGCTCGGTCCCTGCCATCTTCCCCATTAAGGGAATGATACATTTTTAAAGCCAGTTCTAGGACTGTGAGCACCTTGGGTTGTGAATCATATGCACCTGCCCTAGCCAGCCTCTCCCAGGTGTGACTGTGTAACATTAAACGTGATGCCTCCAACCTCAGCCCTGCTTTTCTCACCTGGTTGTTACATTTCCTTTCCCAAATTCCAAATCAAGTTCTTTTTCTCTGGCAACGCCTCTCTGGCCTCCGAGCAGTCAGTGACGAACGGCTGCGTAGCACGCTGCTGCAAAGTCTAAACGCAAATTGTTATAGCAACCATTGACTGTCTCCATAGAAACGGAGCCCTTTTCGCAGCCTTAAGATGCACGTTCAACAGACGGATGTGCCAAGCCAGAGATGCTTGTCAATGAAATTGCTGTAGGAAAATAACATCAGACCTTGCTTTATTCTAGTGCTGGCTATTTCTTTGCCATTATTCCTGCTGTCACGACACTTCCCTTCCTCCTCCCTCTCCTCTTCCCCCCACCCCCAGTCCTAGGCCTTTAATGCCAATCAGCTGGCAAAAGCGCTGTTTTTCTAAGCCCAGCTTAGTTTCTTAGATGCTGGTCACACTGTAGCTTTTTACTTTGCTGTTCCGTCTCTGTGCACGCTGCATGTAACCTGAGGAGCAGTTAGGCCGGTGCTATATGAATACTAAAGAGAAATTTCAATTCAACAATTTGCTCTCGTCCATTTTCTGCTCCCAAACCGTTAGGGAAAGTCTAAACCAATTCTGTGGTCAAAGCTGGGTCCGGAGACCGAAAGGACTCAGCTGTGTCTCCGAAATGACTGACCCGTTTGTGTTGGCTCTATGTGCTTTGTTAACGTTGGGCTCTGAATGTCCGTCAGGCTAAACTTCACCCTCGTGTTTGTTACCAAGGGCTGCAAATGTGAAAACGTGTCTGCAAGACTGGGACAAAACAAGCCTCGTGCTCGGCCTTTGCTTCTGTGGTTGTGTGTGCTAGGAAGGAGACGCTGCCGCTCTAGAAGTGAGCAGGCCCAGGAAAGTCTGTGCTGGCATCCACCCTCCGGAGAGCCAGCGTGTGGTTCTGAGTGAGATCAAACGTCTGGGCTCAGACCCATCGAACCCGCTGGTGTGAGGCTTTCGCCTGGTTAGATCCTGGCTTTTGTTTGGCACTTTCCACTCCACTTTTAATTGGCTTTTCAGATTCTCCACTAGTCCCAGGCTGTCCCTATGGCTAGCTAGCGCCGAAGGGGGGCTTGCAGCTTGTCTGCTCGAATCGTGAAGTGCCAGTGTTTTCAGGATACTTCCTAGTGCTGCTGAGATGCTGGGAACTGCCCAGAAAACTGGGCTTGCCCATGCCAGGCGTGCGGTAAAGCTGTGGGTGGGAACCTGAACGGTTCAGTCTGTGAGCATCTAAACTTGTCCTTGTCTAATGTTCTGACTGATGCTGCCCCTTCCAGCTGTGCTCGGTCTCCTGCTGCAGTCCCAGGACTTGGCGCTTCGTTGCTATGTGCACTTGCTCTAGCAGTCCAGGTTTGGTCCTGCTGGGGGTGGATGGTGCAGTAGCTCAGGCTTTGTTTGTATTTTGGATCTGGTAACTGAAGGGACCAGGCCCCCACCCCCACCCCTTTTTGTAAAGTGCCATAGCAGAAGCAAAATGCTGCTCTTAAATAAGAGCAAACATGGATCTCCTGGGCTGTGAACATCCCCTCCTGCTGGGTCCCTCCCCACATTAAAAAAACACCTGGTCCAGCATCAGCACGAGAATTTTATTGTGCAAGGAAAAAGGAAGGCGACAGCCTCCATTAGCTGCCCCCCGCCCCAGGAGGGGAAAGTGGTGCTTCACTAAGGCTTGGGCTACACTAGCAACTAACGTCGGTGTAACTACGTCGCTCAGCCGTGCAGTTTTACCGACCTAGCTCCCGGTGTAGACAACGCTGTGTCGACGGGAGGGCGTCTCCCAGCGACACGGCCACCGCCTCTCGGGGGGCGCGGTACGTGCCCCAACAGGAGAAGCCTCCTCTTGGCATAGGCAGCTTCTTCACTGACTCGCTACAGTGGTGCAGCTGCATTATCTCATCAGTGCAACCTGGGTTTCAGTTCCTGCTCTCTTACCCTGTCGGGCTGCATTAGGCCTGGAATCTGGAGGATTCACTTCAGGTATAAAATGGTGCCCCCCGTTTAGGTTGTCAGAAAGGGAACCACGATTGGGTTCAGACCCTCTTCTGTCTTCGTTCCTTCCATTTGTGACACGGGGGTTGACTCCCCAGATGTGATGCAGCAGAACTCACAAGCACAACCTTTTTCTAAATATAAACTCTCCCTGCTGGGTTTTTCCCCTCTCCGAACCGCTCCTGCCCAGTGAATTAGCTTTGATTTTCCATTGTTTCATGCCGTTTCACCGCAGGTTCGAAAAAGCAGTTCAGACACTTGTTTGCTATAAAAGGAAAAGCCCAAGACCTGCTCTTGTCCAAATCTTGGCTTCACCTTGAGACAGGAGGAGTCTGGCCAAACTGCACCGCAAAGCTTCAGGTTCTCTAGGGTCTTTGAAAGGGGGAAAATGATCGCCCTTTCCTTGGCTCTACTCCGCCAGCTGAGAGCACCTGGTGCCTTACTCCGGGCGGCCTTATCCTGGGCACCATCGCACGGCTTCTGTAGTCTAGTCCCCCTTTTGATACAGTGTGAAGGAAGCAAATGGGAATATCTTGTATCTTCCTGTAGGACAACTCTGACGTATGCTGCATTGCAACGCACCATAGAAAACAGTATCTCAGTGCCTTTTCTAGACCGCTTGTAAGACTAGCAAGTCACTGAAGCCTTTGCCATACTGGCCTCTTCAAATACTGCCAAAAATCTAGTGTGCTGCAAAAGAGATCTGGCTTGTGATACACAAGCGACCTAGCCCTGCTTGCCCTCCGCCTCGATATACTCCTCGTACACGGGTGTTTTATGGACTCTCCAGGCTGATCCCTGGAAGCTCCTGCTCCAGAGGCTACCGCAAGGCAATGCCTCGCCCAAGTTGGCTGCATGTGGATGTGGCCAAAGGTGATGTCAGCCTGCCCGTGTATGTCCGTATCTCTAGGCTTGTCCTCTGGCAAAGCTTTGCTGGTAGTGGCCTCTCCTCGGGCTGAGGACATTGAGGGTTTGTCACCATTGCAGAGACTCTCTGGAATTTCTTTTCTCTTCGTTTGCGATGTGTAGTTGATAGTGAATTTTCTACCTATAAACTTCTGATGCCCTTTTCAGTCTGACTTCTGAATCCTTCCGAGCAGTTAGGTAGTTGTGATAGCGATTAGCACTGACTCTGCACCGCGGTAGCTACGTTTTCTACGGAAGATTAAGTGTAACCTTGGGCTTTACTGCCTCAAACTAATGCTCTGTTCTAGATTTTATAGTAGCCTTTATTTACCCTGGCGTTTTATGGGCCAGTAAGTATTAAATCTACTGATTGTCAGTCTTAATACAACTTTATTACCAGTGTCTCAAACAACTTGTTAAACAGCAGGTTGTTCTAGCAAGGACCAAAGCACAATGTCATTCCACTCCAGAAGGTGTCTGATTAGAGGGAAACATGCTGAACAGTTGAGGGCACAACTAGTGTCATCCAGGGAACAGAGAGTGCCATGTTGCCTCTTAAATTGTGTATCGTTCCAAAATAACTGAAGTGCAGCTTAATGTTCATTTTGCTAATTGATCATTTTGACTCAAATCTTGTGCCATGGGGGCAAAATGGCTGAAGGGCAAAAGTTTGTGTTGTGATGCTATGAGCACTAGCTAAAGGTTTCTGTGTTCCCTGCACTCTCTCCTGCTGCAGTTTGCAGGGTGTTCTGCCTTCGGTATGTTCGTGTAGATTGCGAAATCCAGTGGTACCTGTCTAAGTGTGACCTGAGCATCATTGCTGTATCTGTAACCAAAACTGCCAGTCCAGGAAGGGGCCCTTAAACACAACTGTACGTACTTTGCCATCCCCAGGCGGCTTTAGAACTAAAAAGCTTGTTTAGTTTAATAAGAAATGTATTAGTTACAAATGTTTCTTGCACCTGGGAGATGGGAGTGGAAAGGAGCTCAGCTTGCACAAACATAAGCCCTGTTGAGATCCGTCGCTACACCAAGACAGTATTTGAGAGATGAGGAAAGGTCCTACAGACACCAGGGAATGGAGTTTAGCTGCATGTTTAGTTACAAACCAGCTGTGTGAAGTAGAGTTGAGTGACCAGTGATGGGCAAAAAGTGTTGTGGGCATCAGACTTTAACCAATGCAGGAATCTGACCCATCTGCAGCTGCTGTCAGAGGTGTAAAACCACTCCTGTTGCCAAATGAAGTCTTTGATGCCCAAAGCACTGGTGATGGCAAAGGGTGATGGGCATGTAGCGTATGAGCACGGTGTGGGAATGTGTTTCTCTTGGAGCCTCTTACGACACATGGCAGTGTCTGTGCCGTCCAGTTGATTTGCGGAGATGTGATCCGAGTGGCTGTTGGCCTACAGCACGGCGTTTTTAAAAATAATTATATTCCGCTTTGTGCGTGTAACCAAGTTGAACAGAAAGCGATTGTGCCAATGCTGTTTACATGACTACAACGTGTAATGCTCTTCTGCCTAACGTTACCGTATGCCTTATGTGTTTCAAATGTTAATTAAAAGCATAACAAAACCCTCACTGGCACGTTTCTCTGCTTGTGACGACGTTGGGGTTAAGCATAAAACAAAGGTTCATGGGTTTGTCAGCGGCCCAGCAATCCATCTGTGGTTTCCTTTGTCAGACCCGGGCTCGTTCGTGTGACCGAAGAAATCTGGGAACAATAAATGCTCGCCAGTCTGTCAATAATTCAGATCAGTAACATTGGGAGGGGAGCCAAGGCGGGAAGATTCAAGACCTACCCTTCGTGTTTCAAATAGCCATTGGGTCATGCATGGGGGTTAGTGGATTTAGCAGCAGTGCGGCTAGCTGAAAGGTGAATGGGATAACCCCGCACCATGAGCAGGGCGAGCTCTTGTCAGGCCATGCAGTGACCCGCACAGCAGAACCTGGATGGGTACAATTGTCACCCCTTGTTAAAAGAAACTTCTCGTGGGAGCATAAATCGATGTTAGAGAAACACGTAAAACTACTGGGTTGCTTCTCCACTGGCATGAATGCTAAGCAGCCCCGGAAACATGCTCTAGGCAGGCTTGAGCCTCTCCCCCCTCCCAGACTTTCAAACCCACCCTCCCACTTCCCTTTTGTGGGGCTGAGGATAAAGCAGGCGCCTCCCCTCCTCTGGAAGAATGTGCTGGGTCTGAAAGAGGACCCTGAGCGCTAGAGCCGGCTGAAGAGGATCTTGGTGCCTGACTAAATATTCTTAAGGACGCTTTTCACCCCCAACTCTTCACCTTAGAGCTCTTAACTATTGGTCTGAGCTTCGTCACAGTGCGGTACCGAGCGAGCGAGAACGAGGGTGCTTGTCTCTGATGTGACAGGCTCTCTCCCCTCCCGGCTGCCACCCCACAGCAGCGGCAGGGAGCTGTTCTCTGACACCGGTTCCAGGGCTAGGTTATAGGCTGTAGTGCTCGGGCCCAATCGTGCTTGTCACTTTCCCAGCGGGCTCAAGAACTGAATGGCGTGTGAAGTCCCCTCTTGCCCAATGGCAGCCTCTCAGCTTCAGAGGGGAGGCTTGTTGGCCAGGGGTGTGGGGAGCTGGTGCTGTAGCTAAAAGGAGACCTTCCCCCCAAGCTCTGGCCACGGGCGCACTCCTATCACTGAAATGACAGGGAGCAGATTTTGCATGTGGCTTTTGAGCGGCAGCACTGGATGCCTGCTGTGACATGTAACAAGGATCTCAGCTGCTTTGTAAGGGTTCAGGTCAGCCCTGCCCGCCTTGGTATCAGCACCAAGTGTTTATTTGGAGCCTTAAATGCACCATCACATTCTCATAAAATGCTACTCGAGAAAGCCCAGCCCCGGCAGAGGGCTGCAGACGTTTCAATCTGCAATGGCCCTTCTGCTATGCGGCCTAGAGCCGGTTGTTGCTACACTGCCTGTGCCCACAATGGGGGGCATTTTGAGGCTCTCAGCGCGAGACACGGCCAAGCACTACCGAACAGGGTGGGGAATGAGACTCGTTTATTTGAAATTCTCCACCAACTCCATGGAATGCAACGTAACAGTGACTGTGTAACGCCGTGCTCCCTCGAGCACACCAGGTTTGGGCTCGGTCGCACAGGGCTAGAGGGGCACTAGAAGCAGAAAGGTTATTGATGCTCCCCCAGAGAGCTCCCTGCGCTCCCTGGAACAGGTGCTGGGGACGGGACGGGAGCTCCGGACTGTCTGCCCAAGGAATGAAATGCCCAGGTTAACAAGTGCCATTCCAGAAGCACTGAACACTAAAAAGACGAGCCGCTCCCAGCCTCCCAAAGGCAGAACTGGGACGCCCCAGGTTGACCCTTCCTGCAACCAGACGTGGGCCTCCACTGGAGACCAGCATCGGGCTGGAAGCTGGTGATGGCTCAGCCTGTGTTGCTCGACGTTCGCTGATGCCGAAACAAGCTGTGCTAGGAGCTGCGGCTGGCGGCTGGTGAACAAGCTAAATCCAAGTGGGAGCTGGAGCTGGCGACAGCTTTTACTTCCACTCAGCGAGAGCGAGGGCGGGTGCTGGTGAGACGCTGCCGCTGGACAGCTCGGTTCTCAGTGCATTTTACACTTGGCCCAGGAATTCCTGGCTAGCGAAGGGCGCAGCGGAGGTGAAGCCCAAGCAGTGAAAAATCGGCTGAGCCTGGCTGGGACTGGAGGACGGCAGAGGGGGAGCGGCTTTTGGCAGCTCAGCTCTGGGCGTTTCACTCGATGCCCAAGTTTCTCAGCAGAGCCCTGACCTCGCGGAGGTACTGGGAATCCGGGTAGCCATTCCTGCCAGGGGAGAGGAAGAGGCGTGAGGCAGCGGCCCCGCTGGTGACGCTCAGAGCACGTTCCAAACACTACCCCTCCCAACGACCGCGGGAAGTGGGGGACATCTTTCCCTATTCCCCCACACACCCCATTTCCCAGATGGGGAGGGAGCCAGTGGACCCTTTCAGAACTTGGCCACCCCACGCTCCCAGCCCCAGAGCACGAGGCAGCCTAGGTCTGGCGCAGGAATCGCTCTTCGCTAGGGTCTCACTGGGTGGAAAACGGGCGGTGGGGATGGAGTAGCAAGAAACATTTAAAATGACGTTTGGATGCTGCTCTTGCTCATTCATTTATCTGACAAAGCGGCTGCTGCAGCCCCGCCAGCCAGGGTAAGAGGGGCTCTGCCCTCCCAAGCCAGGGCACGGAAGCAGCTGGGGGGCTCCGACGATTCCTGGGCATGGTGCTGCATTGCACCACTGGTGGGCTCAGTCCAAGGCTGTCTGCAGCGTTGGGTTGCTGTGCTCTGGCAGGTGCCTGCACGCCAAGCGTGGATCCAGCACAGCACCCAGGCATCTAGGGCCAGGCCCTGTTCCTCTCCCTCCTAGGCCAAGAGCTAACAGGCCAATGGCAGCTGGGCCCCAGACCCCGTTCAAACACCAGCACCGCTCCATACCTGGCCTTGCCCTTGTCGAAAGAGGTTTTGTGGGGGATGAGGTGCCACGTCACTCTCTCCTCCCCGTCACAGGATTGGATCTGGAAGGTCAGGCCCTGCTCAAACGCTTTCTGCAGCAGCTGAGACGTCTTCTTCCCCTCTCTGTTGTCAGGCAGGAAGGCCTGGAAGCGGCCACCCCTGTACGGTCTCCCGGGTCGGGGGTCTCCAGCCTTTAAATGGTGGTGTGGAGGAGGGGAGAAGGAAGAAAGTCGTAAGATCAGCCCTGAGCAGGAGTTTGTGCTGCTGGGATGGGGCTGCTCTCAGGTTTGCCTGTTGGGAGGCGGGGTGGGTTCGTCCCCTGCCTGGTAACGCTCCCCTGGCTGTGAAGACAGGGTCAGTTTGTGGGACCCAGCCCTTGCCCTGCCCAAGGAGCGAGCCGGGAGCGCTGCTGCCGCCGGAGCGCTGGCTAGTTAGCAGGAAGATGGCAACGAGCGGAGGCTGCTGGTGGGAGCCGTTTGTGGTGTTTCCTACCTTGGGTCACGCTCACAACCTCCCTGCTCAGCACTTCTACCCAAAAACCCGACTCTGCGGCGGCGCCCTGGGTCACTTCTCTCTGCAGTGCCTCAGCCCGGGGGTGCACTGGGGGAGGAGACGGCTCTGGGCTATTGCTGGGTTGGAAGGGAACGTGGGAAACGGCTGTTCCGCCTACTGCTGGTAACTCTCATCGCTGGCCTGGGCCTGGGCTTAAAATAATCAAGGGGAGTGACTGGGGAAAAGCCATTGCCAGGGAGCAGGCTGCAGACCTGGCACCTGCTGGAAGCCAGAGCCCCCTTCAGCCAGAGGTGAACGGTGTATCCACCTCATTCAACTCCCCTCTGCTGCTGGGCCCGCAACAAGTGCGACAACCCCAGAACGGCCAGGCTGGGTCAGACCAATGGTCCATCTAGCCCAGTATCCCTGTCCCTGACAGTGACCGGTGCCAGGTTCCCCAGAGGGAACGACGACATCATTGAGGGATCCATCCCATCGCCCAGTCCCAGTTTCTGGCAGTGAGAGGGTTCGGGACACCCAGAGCATGGGGTTCCGTCCCTGACCATCTTGGCTAATAGCCATTGATGGACCTGTCCTCCGTGAACTTCTCATTCTTTTTTGAACCCAGTTAGTTTTGACCTTCACAACATCCTCTGGCAATGAGTTCCACAGGTTGACTGTGTGCCGTGTAAAGAAAGTACTTCCTTATGTTTCTTTTAAACCCATTGCCTAGTAAGTTTATTGGGTGACCCCTGGTTCTTGTGTTATGTGAAGGGGAAAATAACACTTACTTCCTCCACACTGGTCATGATTTTATGGCTCGCTATCTTATCCCCCCGAGTTGTCTCTTTTCCAAGCTGAACAGTATTAATCTTTTTAATCTCTCCTCATATAGAAGCTGTTCCACAGACTTCATCATTTTTGTTGCCCTTCTCTGTGCCTTTTCCAATTCTAATAGATCTGTTCAGAGATTTGGCAGCCAGATCTGCAAGCAGTATTCAAGGTGTGGGCGTACCATGGATTTATAGAGTTGCATTATGATATTTGCTGTCTTATTATCTATCCCTTTCCTAATGGTTCCCAACACGCTATGAGCTTTTTCGACTGCCGCTGCAGGCATTGAGCAGATGTTCTCAGAGACGCATTATCTATGATGACTCTAAGATCTCTTCCTTAGTGGTAACAGCAAATTTAGACCGCATCATTTTGTAAGTATAGCTGGGATTATGTTTTCCAATGTGCATTACTTTGCACTTATCAACACTGAATTTCATCTGCCAGTTCATTGCCCAGTCAGCCAGTTTAGTGAGATCCCTTTGTAACTCTTGGCAGGCAGCTTTGAACTTAACTATCCTGAGTAATTTTATATCCTCTGCAAACTTTGGCACCTTCCTGTTTACCCCCTTTTCCAGCTCATTTATGAGTGTGTTGAATAGCACTGCTCCCAGAACAGATCCCTGGGGGACCCCACTATTTACCACTGTCCACTGTGAAAACTGGCCGTTTGTTCCTCCCCTTTGTTTCCTGTCTTTTAATCCGTTACCAACCCATGAAAGGACCTTCCCTCTTCTCCCAGGACTTCTTACATTGCGTAAGAGCCTTTGCTGAGGGCCCTTGTGAAAAGCTTTCTGAAAGTCCATGTACACTCTAGCCCCTGGATCCCCCTTGTCCACATGCTTGTTGACCCCTCAGAGAATTCTAACAGATCGGTGAGGCCTGCCGTGTTTTCAAATGCCATGTTGATGCTTCCTCAACAAATCGTGTTCATCTGTGTCATAATTCTGTTCTTTATGGGGGTGCTTTGACTACTGCTCATTCCCAGCTGGCATCCGTGCTCCCCTTCTGCCCGTGTTACCCACCCACCTCTTCTCTTGTGAGCTCTTTGGGGCAGGGACTCTGTTCTGTGTGGGCTCTGCCCAGCACAACGGGGCCCTGGCTTCTGACCGGGATGCCTAGGCATTACCCCAAGTCCCATAGCTAGGGGGCTGGGAAGGCCCTGGTGGCAGACTCTTTGTATGGCCTGGCTACCTACCTCCTGCACACCGTCAGGGATCTCATAGACGATCTTGAGCGTTGGGTCTCGAAAGTAGCCGGGCAGGCTCTGGGACAAGGTCACGACCTTGAATGTCCCTTTAATAGCCCTGGTGCCCTTGGGGGAGCTGCAGCAGGCTGGGTGCGTGTCTTCTGCTGCAAAACAAGTCCGGCACAGAGCGTGGCCACACTGGGCGCGGCAGGTCGTTGTGCACGAGCTCTGGCACGCATCACACTTCCCAAGCTTGTGCTCATGGGTTTCCTGCCCAGGGCTGGGACCTCTTAGCTCCAGCTCTGAAATCCCAGTCTCCTGTGAGTCCCCATCTCCTGCTGGGAGCAAGTGGCCTTCCTGGCTCACTGGGTCCCCCTGGCCTGGCTTGGGGCCTCGTCCTGCTGCAGCCCTAGCGGGTAGTGCAGTCCCAGAGCTAGAGAGCCAGATGGGCAAGGACTGTGGGGCACCATCTGCTGAGGGGGGCCTCGGGCTTCCCCCTGCCTCACTGGGGCCTCCTCGGCTCTTGTCTCTTGCGAACTGGAATCTGTCGGGCAGGACCCGCTTTATCCTGGCCGTCTCGGGCTCTCCAGCTGACCTCTCCCCCTTCTGCGGCTCCTGGGGGTCCCCTGGGCTGAAGCTCTGCCTGCCCACCACGCTGGCATCAAGGAGGCCACTGCCACTCACGTCCTGTGAGTCGCTGTGGTAACTTGGGTCCTCCTGCCTCACCGCCTGCTGGTAGCTGCTGGTTTTCGTGGCATTCCACCCGGGCCCATACAGTCTCGTGGTGTCGGCACCGTTCAGCTGGGGGGCGCTTTCCGAAAGGTCCGACAGGCCGGCTGTGCTGCTAACCTCCAGCTGCTGCAGACCCTCCCGGCTATGGCGATATTCTGCAGCCAGCCCTGGGTCCTGGGTTTTCACCTGCTGCGTGGGGCTTGGATATTCCTCGGCCGGAGATCCCTCCAGCCCCGGAGACGGGGAAGAAAGCGTCAGAGCACTTCGCCTCCTGGCAGAGAATCTCTGGAAGGCCTCATTGACTCTCAGCAGTGCTTCCTTGGGGCAGGTGAGATGCAATTTGTACCTGTCTTTGCTGACTCTGACCTGGGCAGAGCATCCTTTCAAGAGGCTGCATAGCTCATTCAAGGCCTCGTCGTTGGGCCCCTCCACGTCGAGTTCGGAGTAGCTCAGGCTCTGGCATACGAGAGCAGGACACACCGTCTGGCACAGAGCCTCCATCTTCCACCTGGCTTGCAGGAGCTTTGTCCTGTCCTCAGCTGCGAGCGTCAGCACGGTGCCGCCTTTGTCGCTGCGCTCTGCGAGCAGGACGCCTCCCTCCCTGCACAGCCCGTCAATAGTAGAGCCATGAATCTCTTTCAGATACGCCCACTGCACAGGATCCAGGCTGATCTCCTCGCTGACCCCGTAGGCCTCGCTGGCTGCCCTGCTGGGGTCTCTGGGCGTGTCGCTTGCCTTAGACTTTGGAATGGAGAAACTATTGGAGCGTCTCAGCGGGGCGCTAGACTCGGGCGGTTTGGAATCTAGTGCTGAACAGGTCCCCGTGGTATCGAAAAGGCTCAAGGATTTGAAGGTACTAGACACGCTGCTCATGGGCTGAGACTTTACGGGACCGGGGCTTTTCCAGCCCCCGAGACTCTGCAAAGTGCTGCTTTCTTTGCCTCCAGCAAACAGAGACAGCGTCTTGGGTCTCAAGAGCAGGGAGGCCCCCTTCCTTCGGTCCCAATCCTTCAGCTCTCTCTGCTGAACCTCTGCCGCTGGCCCAGTGATGGCCGCAGAGACGGGCAGGTGGTGCTGACCGCTCGGTGGTGCTGGATCCCTCTGGCCCGGGGCGCCAGCTTCCTTTAACCAGCTGTCAGAAAGCTGCATCTGCTCCATGAACAGGGAGTTGCGATGCAGCGAGGGCCATGCACTGGAAAGAGACGCGTCCTGCTTTAGGAAGCTGAAGTTGGCGGCTAGCTTGTGTTCACCTTTAAACTCAAACTTGCCAGGACTCGGTCTTGGGGGTGAAGGATCCACCGTGGGTTCAGGCTTGCCCAGTCTGGCATCCCCTCCATGAAGGGCGCCTGTGTAGGTGGCCAGGGAGGCGTCGGACATCCTGAGGCCGGCTGTGACTGTTCTCCCGGTGCTTCGATCTTGGATGTATTGTTTGGCCTGGGAGACATCGACCAGATTCCCGATGAGATAGAGATGCCGCTCATCTTCGTGACAAAGGAGGAGGGGGCACAGCTTCTGCAGGTCCCCTAGCAAGGCCCTCTGAGACCTCATGTCACTGCTCAGCTCCCCCTTGCTGATCTTCTCCTTGCGCAGACTGGCTTCCAGCCGCTGATAGAGGCCGAGCAGCGCCAGGCGGGCTTGCACCACGGAGCTGATGTTTCCAGTGTTCTTGGAGGAGGCCTGGAGGTAGAGAATGGCGATGCCGTCGCTGCTGACGTCCACCACGTCGACCTGGTGCTGCTGCAGCACCCGCAGGTACTTGTCGCTGCAGAACTTCTGCATGTACAGGTAGATATCCGCGTCCATCACCAGGGAGAAGTCCTCCAGCTGCTCCACAGCTTCTCCGTCCACAGGGTCCCTGTGCAACGGGGGCTCAGACGCCTCCTCGTGCACCTGGCCCGGACTCGGCTGCTTCTCCACCCTGGGCTCTGGCAAGGGGGAGTGGGGCCTCTGCTGGGAAGCCAACATCCCTGTGACGGTGGCTGGGTGGCTGACTCCCTCCGGGGGGGCCTCTCCAGCTTGCTGACTCCGCAGCAGCTCCTTGCTGAAGGCCTGCAGCTCCGTGAACGGCCCCTTGACCGTGCACAGCGTCTCCTTCGGGTCGAAGCTGAACTGCACGGCGCCGTAACGTTTGCGCAGGCTTCTCAGGAGGGTTTTGCCATCCAGGAGCCTTCCGTAGTCTATGATCATACAAACACGCACGAAGATCTGGAGGGACAGGACCAGAGGAGTCAGAGGGCAGCGACTGACGGCAAACAGCCCCGCTGCAGGAGGGAGATGACCCCCCGGCAGGCCCCGCTCCACCACCCCGGCATCATCAGGACAACGGCAGCTGCACACACTATCTCCCCGCGGCTCCCAGGGTCACTTCAAGGCCAAGTGCCAAGCGCCCCCCCCTTCCCTTCCACCCTGTGTTTGCTCTCCCCAAGGGCAGGCAAACAAACCCGCTGGAGCTTCGTGCTGCAATCGCTGCCCATGGAGACGGAGAGGGTGTGCCCAGGTGGGAGGGCATGGACACAGGCAGATGCAGGCTCTAGGGTCGGGCAGCCATTAATGTGGGAGGGCCGGGCGGCCAGGCCTGACAGAGCCAGCAGCCTGGAGCCGAACTTTCCCCTCCACACGTGGCCCAAAGGGCTTGGTCCACAGAGTGTTGCCTGCTGGGAGCAGGGAGTGGAGCCGAGTGCGACTTTAATACGGCTACAGCATCTCCCATGTGCGCAGAGCGCTCTGCAACCAGCCCCGGCCCAGGGATCCCCACGTCCCGTTTCTATTACTCTAAGGGCCCTGCGCATGGAGCCAGGCTCTCCTCTGCTCGGGCTGCAGTGTCCCTCGCAGGCCGTAGGCTGCCTGTCTCTGACATCATACGTAGTTGCCATGGAGATTATTGTGATGTCACAGACAGCAGGCTCTGACTGTTGTTGTCACAGAATACAACACCAAAGCCCAGAGCCGGCAGCTGGCCACTGAAATCAGAGGAAGGGCGGAACTACCTCACGGTCTCTGCCACCAGCGCTTCCCCTAAATGCCCCCGAGGAAACTCGCCTGCTTTCCTGGCTCATGCAGTGACAGAGAAATGAACAGACGTCCCTGCTTGGCCATGTGTGAGCAGAGAGCTGGGCTTTAATCTCTCACGCATCCCCTCCCTCCAGTGCTATTCCCTCTGCGCTTGGCCAGGTACAAATGCAGACTGACCAAGTGTAAAATTGAGCCCTGCCTCGGGCGCGTTATCAGCAAAGACCCTTTTAAATCCTCATTTGAATACAAATAAAATGAGTTTGCTTTAACTCTAATTAAGATTAACAGGATTAGCGGAGTCCCCTTCCTCCGTATCTACAGCAGGTGCAAAGCCTGTTCTGGGCGCCGGCGGGGGCTCTGGGAGGAGCGTACACAGCTGGTGGGGGCCCTGCCCACCTGATCCCGCTCGTTACCTCGTCAGCGCTCAGCTCGGCCACGTGCGCTGTCACTGTCAGCGGGTATGTCTTTCCACCGACCAACAAAACGTGGTTCTCCACTTCCAGGACCCTCCGAGCCACTAAACCGAGCAAAGCAATAGACACCAGTCAGCCGGCGGCACCCGGCCCTGGGCTGTGCCGCTGGGCTCCCCAGCCAGACATGCCCAGAGCGGGATCCTTATTCCTCCCTCTCTCCCACCGCTTTCTTGGGGCAGCCCCTTGTTGGAGGCTGGGGAAGGACAGGACACTGGGAATTCGACCAGTTACCCTCCAGCATGGGGGGCCCAATGCCGCAGGAGGTGCCCTGGCCCCTGTGCGGAGCTTCTTGGGCTTCCCCCCTGGCCCCAGGTCACAACTTAGCCCGCCAAGTGCTGCCTGGCACAAGCCCCCTGCATTACCTCCCGCTTCCTCAAAGGTGACGAGGGCGCAGGCGGGGGAGCCAGCGACGAGCGTGATGTCTGCGATCTCTCCGCCGCCGTTGCGGGCGCGCAGGAAGTGGATGGTGAGCTTGTCGGCGACTCTCTCTGGGGGGATGTCGGTTGGGATCCCCCCCACGCGCACCGTGCGCCCAGCCATGCTGCCGGACCCTCCTGCAGGGAAGGAGCGCAGACGTGAGCCAACGAGCAAAGGTCCCAGACCACCGGCCAGGGCTCGCGGGCTGCCCCCTCCGCGCTGGAGCCTGGGTTCGCAGGCAGGACACATGGGTTCTGTTCTGGTGCATGTGCCCTGCCTAGCAAATATTTAAAGCCACACTCCTCACTGGGGGTAGGACACCTTCCCTCGCTGTGACTCAGTTTCTTCACCTGTACAAGGAATTGCTGCACGAGGGCTTGTGCAGCTGAATTCAGGAGCATTTGCAAAGCACGTTTGGATCTACAGCTAAAGCCTGTTGTTATCCAGGGGAAACCTGGGCAGCCCTAGCACAGCTAGAGCGAAGCCTGTCCCTTCACCGCATGGCACTCACTGGGAGCAGACCCCACTGGGAATCAGCAGGAAACCACCATCCCCCCGTCACTGGAGCACAGCTGCGCGTGGCCTTGTGTCTCCCCCCAGCCTGTGCCAGACAACAGCCTCTGCCCAAGGCACGTGCTGCAGACAGTGGGTCAGACAGGGGAGCTCTCATGCCCGGAGAAAGCTGTTCCTCCCCAGCCCCTGTCCTCACCCAAGGCCCCATTTGCCCCAAGGGAAACTGAGGTCTCCGTTGGATTTGTATCTCAGCAGCTCTTTTCTCCAGGGAGCCCGAATGTTCCAGCCTGTTTTTTCTGGCTCTGAAGCTCCTGCCAAGGTGGCCAAACCTCCACCACCCCCTTGCAAAGGGGTGTCATTGACACTCTCTTGCAGTGACCAATAGAATGGCCAACCGCTGCAGGCCCCAAACGGCGCCCTCTAATTCCCCAGCTCTATGAGTTTGGCACCTGGCATCAGGGCCCAGCTTTCTGCGGCCGAATGAGTAAGGGAGCCTCCGTGCCCTGCCCGCATGAATCCACATCAGTGTCACTCTTTGGAAAGGCACCGGGGGGAGGACAATGCTCAGTCTCTGCTAAGGGCTCCAGGGTCTGTGGCCAGGTATCTCTTCTCTGCTCATCTGCAAGCAGAGGCGCTGAGCTCTTGCATTATTCATGAGCTTCCACTTAACATGCAAAGATGCAGCTGAACACGCCATAAATATTTATTAGGCCTCCAAGACGGGGACCCTCTGTTGCAAATTCTCATTAAGCCGGGAGGAGCAGATGGAGAGGTGTCCTAGTGGGAGACAGAGGCAAGAGGCTCAGTCAGTCTCTGCTGGGGGGGAAGGACAGCACCCACAACACTCTTCAGGGTGCAGGGCAGGTCCACACCCACACGCCCCCCCCAGACCAACAGCCCATGCACCAGCTGGTAAAGGGATCAGCCCGCGTTTCTGCTGCCCTCCCCCTCTACTGCTGAAGCCAGGAGCGATCTGAGGCCTGAGGAAAAGCCCCGTTTGCCCCTGCCCCTCTAGGCTGGGCCAGGCCCCCACGGACTGCGCCCCGCTCAGTGGTTTGCCGCGGAGCTGTGGGTGACTGAGCTGTTACCCTGCCAGCTGCGTTAGACCCAGGATCTCCATATGGTTCTTATACAGCAGCTGTCCCTGCAGTCCCCAGTGGGAACTGGGCGTAGGGGCCCGCACCTGCCCCCAGCCGTTCAGGTGTCCACATCCCCACCTGGGTCCTGTGTCACGGGCTCAGCGTGAGCACGCGGCTCCAGGGGGCGCGTCAGTCGATCAATCACAAGACCGGGAAGGTTTAATATTTAAACAAGCTGTAGAATTTTTCAGCAGGGAAGGTAGCAGCAGCAGGCCCCCCGGGAGCTGCGCGGTGTTGCTGACGGCTGCCTCTCGGGGCTGCTGAGACGCTCCACAGAACAGCAGCTCCCGAAATACGAGAGAAGCGAGGGCGCTGCAGGAGGCGATGGCAGCAGCAAACTGCAACCCTGGCCTTGGCCTCCATGGCCCCTGTCCCTGCAGGGCCGCCCCAAGGGGCGCGGGGGGCCGGACACTGTGTTAACAATGCAGCCCTGGGGCGAGCAGGGGGGCCTCGTTCGGCTCTCGCCTTCTGGGAGCGGCATGGACTGAAAGTGCTGCCCTGAAAGAGGAGTGTAGAGAAATGGCACCAGCTTGGGCATCAGCTGCCCCCGCCCCTGCCCCCGGGCAGTGCCCAGCGAGTGGAACCAGGGACTCCACACAGGCACCAGGGCCCAGCCACATGGCGGCGAGGACCAGATCCCAGCCCCAGTAACTTGGTCCCCTGGTGCTGCCTGGGAGCCAGGGGGGTGCACGGCGGGAGCCGGCCAGGTGCAGGGTGGAAGCCGGGCAGGAGTCGGGCGGGTGCAGGAGCCGGGCGGGCACAAGGTGGGTGCAGGGGGGTGCCAGGTGGGTGCCAGGCTCTGCTCCAGGGCAGGCCCCCTTTGCTGACCCCCCCGGCCCGGGCAGCGAGGGGGGCTGGCGGCGGGGGGCTGGCCAAGGGCAGGGCCAGGCCCCCCGCCTGCCCGGCGCAGGGGCACCGAGTGAGCACGTGGGGCTGGGGCCAGCGAGGGCTGAGGCCCCCGGACCCCCAGGCCAGATCCGCGCCCCCCAAGCGCCCAGCCCCGCCCCGGGTGACTGCCGGGGGCGGGGGCCGCGACCCCAAGTTCCAGCCCCCCGCCCCGGGACGGTGCCCACA